TTTTCTATAAGAAATTTGTCTTCAAGATTTCTGTTGAAGAATTTTTTTCCAATTTCTCTCTATTAGACGAAGTAGTTGTTGTATTAGCTCTTATTCTACGTTCTACAATAAGATTTTTCAGAAAATTATGTTATTGCAAAATATGTGACCCACACTGGACAATATTTCTCTAGTATCCGTACAATCGCCCACTTATAAGTGGATGACATTAAGAGATATTAGAGATCTTAATATCTTCAGCATTACGGCGTGAAGAAAGATCTCAAGTATTATATTCCACCCGAGATAAATTACGCAACATCTATTAGAAAAAGTTAGACATGCTCAAGAAAACAAAAATTTCGTTGACATTTACCGGATGAGATATCCAATATTGGTCCACTTTTTCTCTAGAAATTTTTGTAACTTGAACGCATATGTGAAGCTAACAATTTGTCACTACAGCTCTCACATCGAGCCTACAAATGGCGACTATGATTGAATTCCAAATAAATTTTTTGCTCATGTTATCCATACCTCTGCGGCGATATTCGAGCGATTTTAGTATGATTTATTTATGCTTGCGTCAGATCAATGATGTGATTACACGCCAACTGTAAATGATATTAATTTAGCATAGCGGATGGAGACATATGATTGAAGGCATCATCAAATAAAATTTTGAATAATATGAAAAAATTAATGGAAATGATTCTTGTAAGAAAAACTTTCAAATTATTTATCATTGATCAATAATATTACTGATAAATCACTGACGATGTAAGCATAAATTGTTCATTATATGAATTTCATGAATGATGAAGCGAACATAAATTCATCATCGATCAAATCTATTAAGTAAGAGTTCTACTAAAAAATGTGAAAATTTTTGCTAAATGTGCACTCATATATTTCGAATTCCATATAGATATGATCTAGCATGTTTTTTACAGTATCTGTAGAAAGATTTTATCTTATAGTGATTTATTATCTATCTCTTTGTTCTAAAGCTCTCCATAAAATATCATGTGCTTCATTTCTCAAATAATTAATCCAAGGCATTCTATTATTTAAGTCTGGTGCATCTATGTGTACTACATTAATATTAGTTAAGATATCAGCTAGTTTTCCTTGCAAAATGCATTTATCGGTCTGGCATTTCTTCGAGTCGTTAAAATTATAAAACCCCGTTCTTACGAGGTTGCAATTCTCGATCATATGTTCATCGATGACAGTACAACACAATAAATAAATTCACGAAATATACACGCATAAATAAACTGATTATGTATGCGAAATCGGCAACTTTATTGATATAAAAAATAAAAGCAAAATTCAGGATAAACATACAAACGATTAAACCAATTTTTCAGTAAAGTCACGACAGGAAAAAAATTAATCAAATAGTACCACAATTCAATATTTATTAGTTCAACTATCAGAGTATTAAATAATGATACCGGATTTATATTATAAAGCATAGGTTTTAATGTAAAATTGGCCTCTGGGCCCGTTTTATTAAAATGTAAAAATTATTAGAAATACTTTAAAGAAAGTCTATCCCCTATTTCTTACTGTGAATATCAACATCAGATGGAAGTCTGATGTGTCACATCTAATAATACTCATCAACCATTATCTTGATTACCTAGTGTTTTTGGATGGTGATGCTTCTAACGGATTTTCATTTGATGGAGTGTATTGTTGTGCCTTTTTTGAGATTTCTTGTATCTTTAAGTAATAGTCCATAACCCGACTCTATAATACCAACGTAAAGTTAGATCAATGAATAAGTTAGAAAAACCGATTAACTAAACTCCTACTTTAAAAAAATAAGCTTTTCTAACTATTTCATCTAGTACATATAACTGGCTTTTACTGTCCGGAATCGTGAAATTAGATAGGATATCAGCAACATGCAAACCCCCTTTAACACGATGCATTGTGTAAATTGTTGTCTCACGCTCTAAAGTAGATAATAAAAAATAATATATAAATGAATCTGTAATAAATACAACATGATACATTACATACGGTACACTAATACACCAAAACTTTGAAGGCATCCAAGCTGTTCTTCTGGAGCATTACGACGTAGATGGTGCTGTCGTTGATAAAAGATCGACAACTGCATCGCTACAAAGATGAAAGGATTCTGTGAACTTCATTGCTTAGATTTCAAAACACAAATCTTTGGTAATTGCAGACCCTTTAATAATTTCTCCCTATCTTCGCGATATTTTTTAAGATCCACAACCGACGCATTCCCTACAACTTCTAAAAATCCAATCTCTATTTCATTTGCGTTCACGTAAATTCTTAGAATCCCGTCATAATTTGAACCAAGCAATATCCGAGGTTTTTGGTCATTTGTCTGATTTCGATGTTCTTTACGCAATGTGCTCTCTATCTCTCCACTAGTAAATATAATATTTGATAAACCAAAGTTATATCGGATACAACTACATTAAATCAAAATGATGCATAATATGGGGTCTGATTTTCTTTTAGAGGTACTCAACATACGTTTGAAACCTAATCTTGTCTTTAATATCGTCGAATGCCTTGGGAATTATGGGATTAACAAATGATTCTCTGTAGGCTATCTCTGACATAGTCACATCACGAAGTATATTGGAACATGACACACTAACATAAATATGAAAATTAACTAATTAATTCCTGTGGTGCATTATATTAAGTAATAAAAACAACTTACAATCGTCGATAAATGTCCTGTACCCATAATAGATCATAATGTGTTCTAAAGTCAAACTTTCCCTCGAACGGCTTCTCAAAAATAACTTCTGTTGATAGTGTCTGAATTTCGTCATCAAAAACGGACTTAATTTCAATGGCAGATGCATACTTGTCAACTAGTGGCTTAATGCTCTTTTCCCATTTTGATTTTCGCACTGTATTCAACTTTTCTTCAGTTGATGGTTCCATCTAAAAGAAGATGTAAGGTTTATTAATAACTGGAACCTGTCAATGGCTTATAATGCATACATCTTCCCAGAATTTCCTCATTCTTTTTTTTATCGTCATCTGAAAAGACATTATTTACTGGGTCTACGAGATTTTTTTCGGAGAGGTTAACAATACTGTATTCAAAAAGACGATGGTTCACATTTGCCATTTTTGAGATAAGGTGCTGAACCTCGACTGATGAATTTTCATTCACAGATAAACCATCAAAACAATCACTGTCGTCTTCAAGACTGCCAGATTGAACTTGTAAAGAGTCATGTGAAGCGAACATAAATTCATCATCGATCAAATCTATTAAGTAAGAGTTCTACTAAAAAATGTGAAAATTTTTGCTAA